CACGAGCAAATAATCCAAAGAAGAAAAGAATCCAACTGATAAATAAGTATAAGGAAACCATTTAAGTCCCAGTAAATTATAACACCGTGCCAGTTTCGATAAAGATGACAATCATTACACCTTCAACTTTTGGTGAACTATTTCCTATCATCGGCACAAACCTTTAAGACCTGAAGATATGACAATAGAATCAACGCGACTTTCACTTTAATAAAAACCAATTCTGATTTTAAAAAAGGAAAAAATCCCTTTTGTCTGCTTATTTATTTTTTTGGGGGTTCACGCTCCCTGGTAGCAAAAGTGAATAAATGCCGGCACAGAATGTAGGGAACAACTTCATCGAATTCAGAGCATGTATGGGTTGAACAATCCTTTCTCGTTAAATAATCAAACCCAAATAAAAGCATCCCACAATAACAACAGAAGCCGAGCAATTTCAAAATTCAAAATTGAGCAGAGTAGTTTGGTCGGAAAAAAATTCTCACAACTCATCTTTTTTTCCTCTCTCAAGTAAGGCGTAACTACACAAGCAAAGCAAAGGTCAATCGAATGAACTCCCAAAGTTTTTAATTATTGTGCAATCAGGAAATATCAAGTCATTTGGAAGTCACTAAATTTAATCTTCGTCATTTTTTTCTTCAAATCATCTTTAAACAAGCTACGCATGAGCCATAAAAGTACTTAACGTGGGTTGGTTACGGTCTCCATCTACAACATTGGCTCCTAACGTCGCAAAATAGAAAAAGAAAATTCTGAAAACAGTAACTGTTCCTGAAGACTGTATTCTTTCTCACGAAAAATAATCTGATTATTGAGTCCAAAGCAAGTTATTGGAAACATTATCAAGTGCTCTGGTGAAGAGCATCTAAACAAAAATTAAATACATAACAACTGAGTGAAACAACAAAAAGGCACTTACATGGTAATCGGTTTTCAAATAAATGTTTCTCTCATTTACTGCTGTATACAACTCTTCAAATTCTGTCCTTGTCATCAGAACACATTCTACGGACAGGTGCGCCAGCTTAGGAACACTGCTAAGATGTTGGACCAGATCCCTGACCCCGCGGCCAAGTGGATTGGAATCTAGATCAAGAGATTTTAGCNTCAGGTCCAGCTTAGTCAGATTGGGTACATTGTTCAGGTTCTTGGCCAGTTCAATAATCCCGTGACCCAGGGCATTGTCGTGTATATTCAGTTCTTCTAACTTGTTTAAGTACTTTAATGAGGCAGCCAGTGCCGCACATTCCTTTTCTCCCATTTTTACATTCCACCACACTAATCCCGTCAACTGTGGCACGTGATGAAGATTCTCAGCCAAATGACTCACACCGCTGTGTAAAGGGTTAAAGGACAGGTTGAGCTCACGCAAATTTGGAGAATGGGGCAGTGACTCGGCGATAAAAGCAGCACACTTTGCTGCTATATTGATGTTCATAAGTATTAAACTGTGGAGATTGTCAGTAAAATTAACTCCGTTAATCGCGCTCTCAATCATTTGACCTTTAAAGGCTTCCTCCTCCTCCTCCCATCTCTGGTCCCGTATGCTAATTTCTCGAGGAGCTGTTACTAAAGGCAACACGTTCTTCAACAGAACAGCATCCTTAAGTGTGTGAACAATAATCGCAACCTTTCTCACCAGTGACAAACAGTGGTTCTCAGTCAAAGGCACATCAATGTTGTTGTTTTCGTTATTTACTAAATTATCCACGGGTGGCTGAGAAGAGCTAACCGGCGCTGATATCAGTTCAGGAAGCAATTCAGAATAAAGAGCCCCACCTACTAATTCAGTTAGATAGACAAAGTTTCTCCCCCCGGATTTTTTGAGGAAAGAGTTCCCAACGAGTAAATCTGCGTACTTTTTTACATCTTTACTTTCTCCAGAGGACGTTAAAACGACCGCGTTGAAGTCTAACATTATTGATAGCACATCATTATGAACAGCTTTAATCTCCAACGAGTCCGGAAAAAATAAATAGTTTGGGAAATTGCTGATATATTTGAAGAAGTGCTCTTCAGCAGGAGTAGACGCGTTTTCATTCTTAAGTATCACAACATGGTTAACACATGAGAGAAATGCAGGATACACGGCTGTTCTTTCTGAGACTGGACAAGAAAACAAACAATTTACACAGAGTACAATAAACTGTTCTTGTTCGTGAGACAAATCATCTACAGAAGGCGTCTTAATGAACTTGTAATTTGTGAGACCTTCTCTCTCTCCGAGATACTGCAGATGATGAAAAACAATGTCGGCAGCTCCTGATGACAACTCACAAACGAAATTTAGAACTTCAGCCATCTTCCTTGATTTGTCATACGTATCCATTCCTGACAGGCAGGTGACAGTTTCATTCTTTTTCACCTTCAGTTCTTCAACGATGAACTGGGCTGCGAGAAACTCCTGGATGGACTTATGAAGAAAATAAACGATCTTCTCACGGTTCAAAGAGGAACGTTTGGAAACTTGAAAAAAACCGACATGTATTAGCTTCTCGAAGAGATCACCATGTGCACATTTGCTGAATTTCAAGTGAAGACGGTCCTCCAAAAGAGCATCAAATGCAAATTTTCCTATTTTGGAAAGTTCCTCTCGATATTCATCTATGCTTGTACCTGATGCGACGTTGACTGACTCTTTTGTAGCCATGTGATCCAAGAGAGTCTGAATAAATCCTACGTAAATGTTTGCAAGAGATGTGGGTAGCTGATGCTTTTTTTCTTTCCAGAGGAGACACAACATCAACAACAAAAGCGGTATTTCTGCCATCTCATCGAGGTCCTGCTTCTCCAGGTAGACAAGTAACCCTTCAACGTCCTCCTCATCAGCAAGAATCTTTCTTGCAAACTGTTCTTTTTGTTTCCTGCTATCGAACCCGTTCAGTTCAAACTGAGCATGACTTGGCATTCTTAGTTCATCCTCTTTCACTGGTCGCGTTGTGATCATTACACAACAGTCTCTCAGCTGACTGCCTCTCCAAATCTGGTGAACTGGGGATGACTTTCCACCGCTGTACTCGTCATATCCGTCCAATATGAGAAGCACTTTCTCCTGGTTCTGACGGACATATTCATACAAGTTATTGACTGCTTTTGGGTCATCAGCAGACAACAGTTCAGCGGTTGTCAACATGGCGCAGAGATCCGGAATATCACAAACGTCTCGCAACTTGATTAACAGTAAAAGGGAAAACTTTCTGAGGATCTCCTTTTTGCCATCTGCCCAATCCACAGCTAGTTTCTGAGTGAAAGTAGACTTTCCTATTCCAGGTCTTCCATACACTAGAATTCGTCTACGGATGGCACGATGTTCGTCGCCTTCAAATACTTCACTGCTGCCTCCTAACCTTTTCTTCGTTGTCCCGTTAGGCTTTCTGTGGTCTTGTAAAAGCGTTAACTGTATGTAAATATCATTAATGTGTACCGTGTTGTCTGGGTCCCACGGTGTTATTTTCACCTGACACATGGTTTTGTAAAACGCCCTTAACTGATTCTGGCACCATTCCAAAAATTTCATTGCGGACGAGTCTGTCGACAAAAAAGAAATCGGCTTTATGGAAGGGAAAACTGACCTTGCTAAAGCTACTCTTTAATTCTGAGGGTAAACATTCAGACCTTCACTCTCGATCTGCCCAATACGGTGTTTCTTACTTAGAGGGGTGACGGGGGGGTGGCTCCATGTGCAGCCTTTTCTCGGGAGCAGTCTTTGATCCCCTCATAGAGAGAAGAAGCGCGGGCTCAGTTTACAAACAGCGGCTAATAATCTAGGCTATGGTTGGTTCCACTACACAAAGATCTTACTTAGAGAAAATCAATGAATAAATGGGGTGAGTTTCTAAAGACAACGTAGAACTGCGTGGTGGGGGTAACAAGGTAATCTGGTTTTAAAAACTGAGTTGATAATTTAAATTAGGCATCCCAGACAGTTTAAAAGCAGACGTTTCGGGCTCTGACGAAAGACTAACGCTGAAAACGTCAGCTTTTTAACTCTTTACGGTGGCCAGTTTACAATATCAACTCAGTTAGGAAAATTATTGTTTTGTTCTGTGACAAGTGAAATTACTTATTCCACAACTTTTTTTTAAGAAAAACATCTAGGAAAAAGTTTAATATAGTTTTTACTGTTATTAGCGCTATTCATACATACACTTATATTTCCTTTTCTTTACGACTTGTATTTTGTTACTTAACTTTGTTTTATAAATTTAGTTTGAGGGCCACTAGTTATTCGGTTGAAGCACTGTCCCGTGTTACCCTCGTTAAATAAAGTTGATTGATTGATTGATTGATTGAAATCTCAATATAACTATGTAACACTTGGAATTCTCCAGTCTGAAAGTCAGAATCAGAATGCAGATTCTGAAGAAGTTATAAAATGAAGTCATAAGTGACAAATACCTTCAAGGTTTGAGCGCTTTATGCTCTGGACCAGTGACTCGCTTGACCACCTCCTTTTTCTACCTTAAAAACATAAGAAAATTATTCAAGCAAGGGAGACAACGAGGCTGGTATTTGATCAATTTCAATAATCGCAAGCAACACTTGCAAGTAATATAGATCTAGTAAAAAAATCAGTGTATTACTGAAAGACTAAGAAAATTGTGAACACAAGAAATTTCAATGAAATGCCATTACGTTTCAAATAAAAAAGCGAATCAGGCGAAAGAAAGTTAAACTGCAAACAGCGACGCTAATTACTTTCGTTTAAAGGAAGATATTATCCTCTTGTTATGAATCACTTTGCGGAATCGAACCCCAGACCTTCGGATTCTGCACTGTAAAAGCTCTTCCACCGAGCAGGCGGAGCACTTTATGGTGAGTTTCACAGCAATAAGAAAAAAAGAAACAGTTTCTCGCTGCATCTGTCTATTCAAATACAAACCTGTTGTTTTGGCGGAGGAAGCATGTTGCTGATAAAAAAGCTGGGCACAAGAACAGAACGACTCTAAAGGAACTTCTTTACTCATTGTTGAGTGTTGTCCACCATTGAAATTTAAAGAAAACAAAGCCAAAAATACATATTTACATAGCTACATAGCGTTTGAGACAGAACATGTCACCACAAATACGTAGTTTAAACTGCCATAATTCGAATACTGAGTCTTAACCTCGATTGCAAAGGTCTTTCCTCAAATCAATGTCTCTTTTGAAGTTATGCAACTGCAGATCCACGTGAGGAATCCTCCCTACCTCTGCCTAAAAAAATTCAACATTTTTAAAATGTTGAATTTTAAAACTGCAGTCTATACTTTAATTGGGCTCAAAAGACTGTTCATTTAAATATATACCTGTTGTTATGGCAGACGAAGCATGTTGCTGATGGGAAGACTGGGCACTAGAACAGGATGGCTCCACCGGAACTTCTTTACTCACTGCTGAATGCTGTCTGTCAGTTGAAATATCTTCAACAACATAAACCCAAACAGACAGCAGTTAGACAACCTCATGGGGTTTATGACAG